CGCGCAGTCGCTAATTGCTCTGATCTTTGTTACGCGAATAAATATTAGGTTGTCTCATAAGTAGTGGCGCATTTTTTCAAACGGAAATTTTTCTTGTGAACCTCTAATGTTTTACAATGTTTCATATACCATTCGATAGGAAATTATCTGCTCTACAAGAAGGTATGTACCCTTTTTTTGATTGTTGCAAATTGTTTGAGTTTTAGGCATGCAAAGTGGGAGCTTCAGACGACGAATTTTTGCCAAACCGACAGCTGACCTAAACTTTATACTTCCCTAGAAGAAATCAATCAATAATGTAACTATAACTTACTCATAACCTCTACTAAACATTCCACATTTAGGTTCCCTAAAAGCTTGTCTCGTTTAATTTTGAGATTTAGTTATTCCAGTGCAACTCGGTGGTTGCCTGCCGGCTTTTGTGGCACTCGATCCTTGGTTGAAGGTGAACAGCAGAAGGTGCCGGAAGTGTTCCTTTTCGTCGACTTGACATACCACCATTTTCTACGCTAAAACTCGACGATGATTGATATCAAAACCAAGGTCGTAATGCAAATAAGTAGAGCAGAAGAATCACTTTATAAAGGTGTATAAAGTGGCGTCAATACCTAAGAATCGGAATGGAAAATTCCACTCTGAACGAAGCTCTATGGGTTGACAGGCAACCACCGAGTTGCACTGGAATAACTAAATCTCAAAATTAAACGAGACAAGCTTTTAGGGAACCTAAATGTGGAATGTTTAGTAGAGGTTATGAGTAAGTTATAGTTACATTATTGATTGATTTCTTCTAGGGAAGTATAAAGTTTAGGTCAGCTGTCGGTTTGGCGAAAATTCGTCGTCTGAAGCTCCCACTTTGCATGCCTAAAACTCAAACAATTTGCAACAATCAAAAAAAGGGTACATACCTTCTTGTAGAGCAGATAATTTCCTATCGAATGGTATATGAAACATTGTAAAACATTAGAGGTTCACAAGAAAAATTTCCGTTTGAAAAAATGCGCCACTACTTATGAGACAACTATAATAGGTCGCCTCTTGTAATACCGAGGTAGATCGGCGCGTAGTTGCGCACAACTTTTAACCATTCCTGCAATTTTCACGCCTTTAGTGTATTGCTCTGGAAAGTTGGTAAGCACAGCCTGTGTCGCGTTGTTTGAAACTATTATTCTTGACCTGTCCAATTCATCTAGACATCTTCCAATGGACCGAACTTGAAATCATTCATTGGTGGAGGCCCTTCAGGTAATTTTGCTGATCCTAGGGAGGCTACCTTCATAGACGGGAACGAAGTAAGTCCACTGGTTGCAAGAAAAGATGAAGCAGGAAACCGGTTTGAAGTCAAAAAGGTACACTCAGCTCTGTACCTGTCCTGATAGTGTGGATCGGAAATAATAAATTAGAAGCCAGATGAATAATAATGAGCGCCGAGGAGCAAAATAATCTCCGGGTCCTAGCCTGGAGCGTGAGCACCAGCGAGACGGCGTAGCTGCTACCCTACCGCGGTAGGCAGACGGACCAACAGCATAGACCACCGTAGTTCGCCCCATTCTGGTGGTGCCTTCAGAGGCATGCGTCAGAACTGTTACGATTCGTGTTGGTCGCGGCACCGAAGAGTCATCCTGCGAGTTAGCCATTGACTGTATGCGACAATGTCATTTCCTCCTGGAGCTGCGAATATATGTTCAAGAAGATCGAAGAGAGTTCCAAGATAAAAGATTGCCTGTATGTTCCAAGAAGTTCCAAGAATATCACTGATCGCAATTTATGGGTTGCGGTACCATTGCAGTAGAAAAGCAGAAAATCAATTTACTGTTCTTGCTAGATTATGCTAGGCTGTTCTAGTTAGTGCCCACGGACCTGAACGTACCAAACAACTCAATTTCCGAAAAATTTCTCGATGAAGGTGTTTTCCTCGGAAACCCACCAATTACATCATTTGGTGAGTGAAACTCACGTTCTAATCATCTCACTTTGAATTTTCATACGAATTTCCATATATGAAAAAATACTTGCTGTCAAATATTCTCCAGGCAAGTACTATACTCAGTTGACTGGTCGCGCCTTGTGCAATCGTGGATTGTCGGCAAAATTGCTGATCTGTTCGCCAACCCTCCGTTCGATCCAGACTGCTGAATCGATAGCAAAGTTTCTGAAAGCGGACTTGGCTGTGAGAGAACTTTATAAATCATGAGGGCGGTGATAGCTACAGTCTAGAAAAAGCAAGCTTTGCAGATAGAACCCGGCCTAATCGAGCCGTTAGCATGGTATCGCAGTGTGAGCAAGAAGCTACCGAACTTTCGTATCGAAGAACTCGCTCAAATATATCCTATAGGTGCTAGCTAGTAAGTTATAACAAAACCTTATTTGGCCATTTTCCCAGTCTTTAAGTGGTCAAAACACGCGAGAGA